CATTGTCTCAGTTCCTAAGATCATCACAAATACGTGTTTTCCGATGGTCGTGACCCACAGGTTGAGAACTGCTGAATTAAAGAGTTTAATTTTAAATGAAGAGCACATACCTAAATTTTTAAGGGTCCTATTGAAAGATGAGCATCTTTAGCACATTGTACCCTTTGAATTCTTCTTGTCGACTTATGATAAAATAGTGGCACTGTCAAAGAAAATCTCACAATACACCTTTGCAAGAGGAACTTCACAATACACAGGCCGGTGACCTTTGGTACTTGATAAAGAATTTATGATGAGTCACTGCCCAAGCAAAGTTAAAATGCCCTGAAATCTGGTGTAAAAAGCTGTAGACAGGATCAGGAGAAAGATCGCCCTCTGCAAGGGCAGTGTGTACTCTAAAGCACCGAGCCATTTTCCAGCCCTGATTTTTGTTTTGTGAGACAGGGCCATGTGTAGTTCAGGACAACCTCCTCATCCTCCTGCCTCTGCTTCTCAAATGCTGGGGTGACAGGCATGTCTATCTTGCTGCCTTGATGGACCTTTCCCATTCTAGGTGATTCTGAAACATGATCAGTGACCTGGATGACAGATATTGATGATTTAGAGGTGAGACTTAAGAGAAATAATACATACACAAGAAATCTGTAAATCAGTGGTGGGGAAATAGTTACCCTCATTAGGGTATTCCAGTTGTCATTATTTTTAATTTCTTCTATTTCTTTTAACTTTTTATTTACTCTTTATGGCTTTCACATCGGGCGTCTCAATCCCATCCCTATGCATCTGCCCTCTGCCCTTGCAGCCTCTCCCCAAAATAAAATGAAATAAACTTTAAGAAAAAAGGAAAGGGGGAAACGCTCCTCGTGGGAACTGTAGTGTGACACAGTGAGTCCATATTACTTTACTTGCAAGTGTTCATTGCAAAGAGTCATTGGTCTGGTTTGAGGCCTCTGGTTTCTGATACACTATAGATGCTGGGCCCTCACTGGGACTTTTTTGGAATACCCTGTTGTTACCCTGTGTTGTGCAGATCCTGCAGCTTCACGTGCTCCAACATATCATTAATGGGGTGGATACTGGGGTGGGCCAATGCATTCTGGGCCTGGATGGTTGTAGGGTTGGTCTGCCTGCCAGTTCTCCCCATCCTCACCACTCGGATGAGCTCTCCAGAGTTGCTCTGGCTAGCTCATGATGCAGCAAGGGGGTAGGGGTAGTGCTGGTTCTCCCGATTTCACACACCCAGGACCAGCTCTCCCACACCTACATCACTAGAGCCAGCTCTACTGTGTTGCCCAGGCAAGGCCACTCTTCTGAGTGCTACAGCTGGTGAGAGGCAGGGCCAGCTCTTCCACCTGTCACAGAGGGTGGGGGAACATCTCTCCCACACCCACCACCATATGGCAGATGAGGAGTGGGGCCAGATCTCCCATGCTCCTGTTCTAGGGGCCAACTCACTCTTTGCCCCTGGCAACAGGGTTAACTCTATTATGCTGCCCAGGTGAGGTACAGGGCCTGCTCTCCTGAGTGCTGCAGCCAATGAGGGGCAGGGCCAGCTTTCCCATACCCAAGAGAAGGGGGTCAGCCCTATTGTGCTGCCCATGTGAGTGTAGGGCCCGCTTTCCTGAGTGATGCTCCTAGTGAGGGGCCAGTTCTCCCTAGTGTTGCAGCCTGTAAGGGGAGGACAACTCTCTGCATCCACATCCTCTCATCTTTTGATGATAACAGGAGCCATGGACATCAACACAGACCACAGATGAGGCAGACATGGGACTTGGCAGCAGCCCAGGCCCAGAGATCACCATGGCCCAAGGTGACAAGCAAGCCACCTAGCCATTCCTCACTTCCTTCACCTCTTCAGACCCACCTCTCTCCACAGGAGAAGAACTATCCTGTCTCTGCTTCTGTCTCATATCCCACCAGGTTATTTGCTTACCACAATAGTACTGGGAAGGCCCATGTTTTCTTCTTGCCCTGAGCAGGCATGTGGGGCTCCTTCTGCTGCACTAATTATTTCTTAAAGCACTATGCAAACAAAACAAAACTTTCCTGAAAATTAAATTCTGGGAGCTAGAGAGAGGGATCAGTGGTTCAGAACATTTACTGCTCTTCCAGAGGAACTAGGTTAGATTCCCAGCCATCTGTAACTCCAATTCCAGGAGATCAGATGCCCTCTGCTGGCTATTAAGAGTATTGCATGTGGTTCACAGATGTAGGTGCAAGCAAAACACCTATATACTAAATAGAAAAAATAATAACAGTAATACAATCTAAAGATTAAAAATTTAAAGACATAATTTAATTAAAATGAAGTTCGTCTCTGTATCTGACAGCTGAATGTGAATGCAAGCTATACATAGACAATTGTTTAATTCAACCTTACATTGAAACAGACAGGCCTGAAAAGGGTGTTATTTCTGAAAGTGTACGGCTTTCAGAAGTTGTTATAATCAAGGTGACCACAATCTTATGGGTGGATACTTTTGAGAATGAGAGGAAGTGCTGATGATATTTATATCAGGACAGGAGTAAGGCCAGGACTGTCCCTGGCAAATCAGAATGAATGATTGTTGGGGTTATAGCCACAAAATCAACCACACCCTTGTGTGACCCGGTAATGGCCTTGCACTCATGAACCCAGCAGTTGTGGTTACCTGTACAAGATCAGGCCAGTCAACATTCCAGCCTGGTGGGGAAGGTTCACAGGGCCCCCACACACACTGAGGAGCCATTGGCAGTTGATGGCTGTTGGGGAAGGAGAATCATTTTCTTTGGGGTTGAGCAACTGCAGCTGACTGAGCTCCAGTGGATGGTTCCACACCATTTGCATATGGTTAGTACTAACTGGACTCTGTGTTTCCCCCCACCATCTGGACTGTGTGCTGTAAAACATAAATAAGAGGCTGGAGAGACGGCTCAAGGGTTGAGAACACTTATTGCAGATGAGTTAGCTTTGGCTCCCAGTATCACACAGTGACCCCCAACCGTTTGTAATTCTAGTTCCAGGCTATCCTAACCCCTTTTCTGACCTCCATGGGAACCAGGCATGCACATGGTACACATACATACATGCAGGCAAACCACTCTTACACATAAAAACAAACAACTATTAAAAATATAAATAGATGAATGGTGGCGGCTCACACCTTTAATCCCAGTACTCAGGAGGCAGAGGCAGGTGGATTTGAGTTCAAGGCCAGCCTGGTTTACAGAGCAAGCTCCAGGACAACCAGGGCTACACAGAGAACCCTCCCCCCACACAAAAAAAAAAAAAACTAAAAAGAAAGAAAAAAAGGAAAAACAACAAAAATATATATGAGGAGAGAATAGAATTGGGAGGAGGCATGTTGGAAGGATTAGGGGCAAGTAAGATGAGTGATTGGGGTGTGGATCAAGATATAATTGTACATGATGAAATTATCAATGAATAAAATGCTTTTAAATTAAAAATATCAAATAGCAATCAATGGTCTGGGAGACCAAGAACAAAAGGAGGGGGATGAGTGGGTGGAGGGACTAAGAGGGAAAATGGAGGCAGGTGGCATGGATGTAGAAGGACGGACTAACTTGGGGGTAAAAGAGGATGATTAAGAATGAGTGCCCGTCTACAAGCCACAATCCCAGAGAAGCTTGAACCCTTCTCCAGAAACAGATGGAAGCAGATGCAGAAATCCACAACTAACCATTGGGTCAAGCTCCTGGAGCACAATCAAAGAGAGGGAGGAGCAAAAATATGAACAAAGGAGTCAAGACCATGATGGGGAAACCCACAGAATCAGCTGACCCGAGCTAGTGAGAGATCACTGACTCAGATCTGACAAATGGGAACCTGCATAAGACTGAATTAGACTCCCTTAATATAGGTGACAATGGTGTGATTGGGACAATATATGAGGCCACTGGTGTGGTCCAACGTCTAACACTAATGCACAAACTGACTTAGTGGAGCCCATTCTATATGGAGAGATACCATGCCCAGCATAGAAATCGGGGTGTATGGGGGGGCGTAGAGAGGTGACTTGGTCCTGCCTCAACTAGATGATGGGACAGACTTAATAGACTTTCTGGGTTAGGCCTTACTCTCTCCATGGAGCAAATATGGGGGAGGGGAGTGAAGGGTTTGGGAGGAGAGGAGGGAGGGGGAACTGGGATTGGAATGTAAAAAATTAATTAAAAAAATGAACAACAACAAAAGAATGAGTGGCTGTGATGTGTTGGAGGGGATGAATAAGATCCAAGTATAAAGACAGACATTTTGAAATTGCCCTCACAGGAGCTGGAGATTTTTGCTCAGTGGTAGAGAGCTTGCATAGCAAGGGAAATGTCCCGAGTTCAGGTCAGTACCAGAGAGGAAGAAAGTTTGGTTTTTAATGACAGAAGAGAGGTCATGCCCGGGGGGGGGGGCAAAAGAGCAAGAGGAACGATTAAGTGAAGTGTTGAGCTCCTGAAGGTTACATGGATGGCACTGGCTGATGCTTTCCTGGTCAAGATAAAAGAAACAGGTTGAGCAAGCTGGGAAGAAACAGGCACGACAGAACCAAGGATGGCCCAGGGATGATGAGAAAACCCAACAGAAGACAGGAGGGGGTGGTAAGACCTACTGGGGTTAGCACACCTTCCTGGAGCTGCCGGAGCTGCCAGTTGGCAGCTCCACTCCCTACCTGCAGTTCAGTGGACTTTGGTGCTAGGTTCTTCTGTCCTCATACAACTGCTTTGGAAAGATACGCTTAATTAGTTCAAGGTCCAGGAACCTTGGTCTACTTTATAGGAAGCATGAACTCACATTATCTGTTTGCTTTTGAGAGACAGTGAGGTAGGACTGACCATCTTTTTATCTTTTTTTTTTCTCCTCTCCTTACAATATTCCCCATTTACATTTTACCTTTTTTGGTTGTCCATTTACTTTACCCCCCCCCCCACTTTGTCCTTCTCTAGTCTTCCAATCGAGAGAGACTTTAACTGTTGCTTCCTGTTTCATTTTCTTTTCCTAGCAGCAAGGCCTGCCTTATGTTTCTGGGCTTTCACATATCAAATTAGCTCTGCTGCTACACTATGGCAAGCAAACTACAGGAGGAGGTGACCTGCCCCATCTGCCTGGAAATTCTACAGGATCCTGTCACCATTGACTGTGGACACAACTTCTGCCACCAATGCATCAGCCAGGTTGGGGAAACTACAGAAGAACTCCAGTGTCCCCTCTGCAAGGTCACTGTGAGTAAGAATACATTCAGGCCCAATAAGCTGTTGGCTAGTCTTGCAGAGAAAATCCGGACTATGGATCCTACTGAATTCCAACCAGAAGGGGAAGAGACAAGATGTCGGAAACACAAGGAAAAGTTACATTACTTCTGTGAGGAGGACGGAGAGTTCCTCTGTGTGGTGTGTCGTGACTCCAGGAGCCACAAGTCCCACAATGTCGCCTTGGTAGATGAGGCTGCCCAGAACTACAAGGTAGGCACCTGGGTCCTTCTCTATCCACGGCCCAGCAGAGTAGAACTTCCTGAGGACACAGGAGCTGCTGCCTGCTCCAGCTGGTTGGCACCCACGGCTGCACTCTGCACTTGAATTGGCAGTTTGTGGCCAGGCCCAGTGGGCTCAAAGAACCAAGTTCTGGGAAATGCCAGTCTGCAACCAAGGCGAGAAGAGGAAGAGTCAAAATGGTGCTTTGGGAGCAGCAAAAATAACTCAGAGCGTAAAGGCACTGGCCATCAAGTTTGAAGACCTGATTTTGGCCCTTAGGGCCATATAGTACAAAGAAAAAACATTGCTTGATCCCTGGGAGAGAAAAGGGGGGCTGATAATAATGACATTAGTATCCTGGGATATCTTCCCTGCCTCCCTAGAGGCTGAGCCTGACTGAAGTATCTTCTCCCCACAGGTGCACATCATGTCACAGGTTCAGGATTTGGGCCAAAAGGACAAAGAAATAATTGAAGAGAAAAAGCGAGGTGAAGGGGCAATCCAGGTGTTCAGGGTAAGAAATATCTACTCCGAATCTCTTCTGAGGAAGTTGAGGCGGCTCTGTTGACACTCCTAGAATTCTTTAAACACCGAGCTGGAACAAAGACAGGGTGCTGAGGGGCAGAGGGTGTGGTGTCTGAGCACACTGCCCCAATGAACCACAGGTCTCCTGCCCACATGCTGGGTCACCCAAGCCCCTTTTCACCACAGGTGGATTTCACAGTAAGAAATGACAGAGACTGTAATACCACCAAATGTCTCCACCTGATTTTGTCTGCTTTTTTTTTTTAAGGTTGTTTTTACTTTTATTTATGAGCAGATGTATGTGAGTGAAAGCCATGTGTGTGTGCAAAATACTGGCAGAAACCAGAGGAACTGGAATTACAGGCATTTGTGAGCTGCTCTTCTTAGGTGCTGGGAACTGAATTCAGGTCCTCTGGAAGAATTCTTAATTCCTGAGCCATCTCTCCAGGTCCTGGTGTTTTGATTGGTTGTTTTTTTTTTTTTTTCCATAGAAAATTTAGTTTGAAGGCAGTTAAACTTCTCTTCCTCCCTTTCTTTCTTTCTTTCCTTCTCTCTCTCTCTCTCTCTCTCTCTCTCTCTCTCTCTCTCTCTCTCTCTCTCTTTTGTCTGTTTGTGTTCTTCCTCCACTGACTTTTGTTTTGTTTTGTTTTTCAAGACAGGGTTTCTCTGTATTGCTTTGGAGCCTATCCTGGAACTCACTCTGTAGATCAGGCTGGCCTTGAACTCACAGAGATCTGTCTGCCTCTGCCTCCTGAGTGCTGGGACTAAAGTTGTGTGCCACCAATGCCAGGCCCCTCCATTGACTTTTAAGAATATTTATTTATTTATTTATTTATTTATTTATTTATTTTTAGATTTAATTTTATGTGAATGAATGCTTTGTCTACATATATGTGTGTATGTATACCAGATGCATGCCTGGCATGGAGATCAGAAGAGGGCATTGGATCCCTGGGATTGGAGTTAGGATGGTTAGGAGCTACCATTTATGTTCTGGGAATTGACTCTGAGTCCTTTGCAAGAGCAATAAAGTCCTTTACTGAGCCATATCTCCAGCTCCTGACACAGAATCTTATGTAGCATAAGCTAGAAATTGTTATTTAGAAAAGAAGAGCCTTGAGCTTCTGATCCTTTTGTCCTTCCCCCAGTACTGCAATTGCAGGGCTACATCGCCATGTCCAGGTTACTGCAGGGCTGAGGATGCATGGTAAGCAAGCACTCTATCAACTGAACTACAACCTTATCCTGGGTTTTCCATGGTGATGTTGTTTGTTGAGAGAGTGCCTCAAGTAGATTCAGGCCTTAGCTTCCTGAATCTCTTGTCTGTACTTCCCAAGTGCTAAGATTGCATAGTTGTTCATCTGACCAATGTCCATGAAGGTAAAATGGGGTGTGTGTGTGCGTGTGAGAGAGAGAGACAGAGAGTATGTGTGTGTATGTCATTGAGCCTAAATCTGTGAACACAGTAAGTGCTTTGACCTCCTTCCCCTACCCCCTTCCCCACTGGTGTGCCTCAGCAAACTGTTCTAAACTTGTTTCAGTATAATCTTCAAATATTCCCAAAGAGTGAAAGGTGCCAGGTGGTGTATGCCTTTGATTCCCAGCATGTAGGAGGCAGAGGCAAGTACATCTCTATGAATTCAAGGCCAATCTGTTGTACTTACTGAGTTCCTGGCTAGCCAGGGTTATATAGTGAGACTTTGCCTGTGATTGATTGATTTATTGATTGATACTTGATTTAAAAACTGAATGATGGAAGCTGGGTGGTGGTGGTGCGCGCCTTTAGTCTCAGCAATCAGGAGGCAGAGGTAGGTGGATCTCTGTGAGTTCAAGGCCAGCCTGGTCTACAGAGCAAGTTCCAGGACAGGCTCCAAAGCAATACAGAAAAACGCTGTCTCAGAAACAAAACAAAACAACCCAAAAAAAATGAATGATGGGTTTAAAGGAAGCTTTGAGGACCCTCTTTCATGCCCCCCTTATCTTTGCATTCCTTCCCTCGTCCCCAGGCCCTGGTCCACCTAGAGAAACTAAAGATCCTTGAGGAATTCAAGCACCTGCACCTGAGACTGGAAGAGGAAGAAAGATTCCTCCTGTCCAGGTTGGGCTGGCTGGAGCATGCCGGAGCCAGGCAGATAGAACAGTATACCACCGTGACTAATGAGCAGTTGACTTCCCTCAGGAAGATCACAAAGTCCCTGAAGAACAGGCTACAAGCACCACCCATGGAGTTACTGGATGTAAGTCCTTTGGGAACAAACTCTTCATCTGTCTCTCTGTGTCTCTCCCTAAAAGAGACTTAAGAATCTGTATTATATTGTGGCCTAACAGCTCCTAATATCCGGTTCCTCCATGCCCTTTGTCCCCCCCCTCCACTCCCTGAAAGAACATAAAAGTCAGATACTTTCCTTGGGGATTTCCCTGAGGCTTCCACCGACCCCATCATAGAATCCACAACCTGACCGGTATCTTTCCTGCTTTAAGTGAACACTTTTGATAAAGCTCTTTTCCAGGTTTTAAAGGGAAGCCTGTGGTTCCCCACAAGGCTCTGTTCATATTGTGTCTGACATAGTGTACTATTCCTCTCTAATGCCCTTCCCCCCTCAAGGTCCAGTGTTCACCACACCCTTCCTCCCCATAAGCCGCACATCTGAAGTGTGGCTTCTTCACTGCTCTTTATTGCTTTCCTGAACGAAGCCACCACTCTTCTTCACCTAACCCAGCAGTTCTCAACCTGTGGGTCTCCATCCCTGTGAGGGGGTCCACTGACCCTTTCACAGGAGGCACCTCAGACCATGGAAAATATCAAATATTTACATTCCAAGTAACGAGAGTATCAGATTTACCACCATGATAGAGCAATGAAAATTTTATGGTGCAGGACATCACCACAACATGAGGAACTGTATTAAAGGCCAGCAGCATTAAGAGGGTTGAGAACTGCTGCCCTAACCAAAGCCCCTCCCATAACTCAGGACGCTGAGGCAAGAGAATTGCTGCTAGTCCAAGGCTGCCATGAGCAGAGATCAAGACACTGTCTCAAACAGCTGGGCACGGTGCCTCACACCTGCAATTCTACACACACACACACACAGAGGCACACACACACACACACACACACACACACACACACACACACACACCCTGGAGTATGTTATGCAACCAAAAGTATCACTGAATTTCTGATCTTCCTACCTCTTCCTATCATATGTTGAGATTTAGACATGTGCTACTACACCCAGCTCACAGTTTAGAACCATAATGTAGGATGCATATGTTACTTAAAAGTATATCTCAGACTCATTGTGCAAAGGCACTTGCCACCAATCCTCCAAGACACACGGTGGAAGAACAGGGCCAATGCCCACAAGTTTTCCTCTGGCCTCCTCCTGTAACTTCAGCTCCAGCACATCCGATGGCTCTGGCCTTGCAGGGTACCAGCATTCTCAGTTACACACACACACAGTTAAAAAAAAATAAATAAAAATAGGGCTGGAGAGGTGGCTCTGTCTGCTCTTCCAGAAGTTCTGAGTTCAATTCCCAGCAATCACATGGTGGCTCACAACCATCTGTAATGGGATCTGATGCTCTCCTCTGGCCTGAAGGGATACATGCAGACAGAACACTCATACATGAAAAATATACACAAATAAATAAAAATTAAAAATAATAAAATATGTTTCAAATTATTCTCAAAATTAATAAACCTAAAAAATAAAACACAATAAAAAGAAATACATTTCAAGCTATATTTCTAGTAACTATATTAAAAAGGAAAAAAAGAATATAGTGGCACACCTTTAATCCCAGCACTTGGGTGGTGGAGGCAGGCAGTTATCTGTGAGTTCAAAGTCAGCCTGGTCTACATAAAGAATTCCAGGCCAAGCTCCCCCAATCATATAAAAGTAATTTTAATAAAAATACTTTAGCAATGTATTTAATTTGGTATTTCAAATGTAATCATTTCAGCCTCTTTAAACATATTTATGAGCTATTCCACATTTGTAAGTGCTTTTTTTTTTTTTTTTTTGGAGCCTGTCCTGGAACTAGCTCTTGTAGACCAGGCTGGTCTCGAACTCACAGAGGTACGCCTGCCTCTGCTCCCGAGTGCTGGGATTAAAGGCATGCACCACCTGGCTGAACTAGTTATTTTGCACATCTCAGTTTAGATGCTATATCATCAGTTGCTGAGGTAAGATATAGTTAGTCCTGCTAAATCAATAAAGTTGTATTTAACTGAGAGAATGTTTACAGTGCTTAAATTTAGATTTAAAATAGTAAAAATTAATTTTGGTGGGACTAATATGAGAGTACACTCCTGTCATCTCAGCCCTCACAAGAATTAGTAGTTCAAGACTATTCTTGGCTACATGGAAAAATCAAGCCAGCCTGAGATACATAAAACTGTCTCAGAAAAGAGGGGGAGGAGAGCTAATAGGACACCCAGGTGCTGGGACTAGCACACTTTTTTTCTTTACAGAATGTCGTGGACAGCCACCCCACCCCAGCAAGCTCAGCTCCCTGGTTCCACACCAGAGCAACACCATCTCCCAATGTCTCTCTTTCTTCTCTCCTCACTCTGTTCCTCCTGGGGTTTAAACACTGTCCCAACTGTGTCAGGAGTTTTGGGGGAAAGCAGTTCTGAGTGGAGGGGAGAGAGAGACAGAGACAGAGAGACAGAGACAGACAGAGGAGAGAGAAAGGGCAGAAAGCTGGGGTGTCTTCACTCTGCCTCTAGCTGAGTCTGAACCCCTTCTTGGTGCCTGTGACTCTGACAAGTTCTTATACTGTTCTCTTTCTCTTCCAGGACATCAAAGACACCTTGAGCAGGTATGATGGGCATCCCAAGTGCACTGGGCTTTCTGGTTCACTCACACATACAACATTCAGCCTATATCCAAAAATATGTTCACATCCCCCAATAACTCGGCTATAAACTATTTAGGCCGCAGGTGGGGAAGACCAAGCTGGCCACAGTAGCACAGCAGCTTTTTTCACCAAATACCCAGATTTACAGCAGCAGTCTTTTCTTTCCCAGCTCCCCCTCACCATTCCTCTTGATCAAGTGGGCAAATCCTGGGTTTCCTACTCTACTTCCCTTCCCCTATCCCTTCTCTCCTCTCTGCATCCATCTCCCATCTTCATCTCCATATTTCCTCAGGTCTGATCTCATTCAACCCTGTGTTCCCGCCCTGGCCCCCTGATACTCAGCATCCTGGCTCCAGACTGTGTTTCTCACTCTACCTCCACCCCAGAAACCATCTTGCAGGCCCCTCCTGTCCAAACTCTATCCCCCGAGCTTACTACTCAGATCAACATATCTTCACAGGAGTAAGGACTTTCAGTTTCTCAACCCGACCCCAATTCCTGCGGACCTGGAGAGAAAAACCAGGGAAGCAAAAGCAAGACACGTGGTCATCATAAAAAGCCTTGAGGAATTAAAAGGTGAGGTGTGGCTGCCACCACTGACTGTGCTTAGCTGCCTTAGGATTCTTTCCATCACCCCAGACACTGCCTGAACTTCCTGGTGCAGGCTTGAGTCTGTCAGAAGCCAGGATGAATGCTGGATAATTTCAAAGCATCATTATCCAGAAATTTCTCATGCTACAGCCCCAGAGTCAAAGCACTTATTATTGCAGATTTTTTTTGTGTGTGTACTAGGTGATGAACATGGGGCTAGAAGCATGTTCTTGGCTGCTGGTCACGTGTACCCCTGGGCACCAGAATGCATTCATACATAGTGTAGGCAAAGAGTAAACACTGACTCTGAAAGACTCAATATTAAGATAGAACATAATATTTAACAATTAAAACAAAAGCAAATGGAAATACTGTCCAGGGCAGTCTCTTGTGGAACAGTTCAATGACTCTTCCCATTTGAGCCTTCTAAGCAGCTGGAATTCCAGCACTGTGCCCGGAAGCACTAAGCCTTTACTCTACAAACTGAAATATTTCCTTATGTTCTGAGCTGAAGAAAACACGTTATTTAAATTCATTTTATTTATTTCTTTTTAAAAGTTTTCTTTATTTTATTTGTGTGGGTGTTGTGTATGCATGTATTGTGTGCTTGCTAGGAGGTCAGAAGAGGGTGTCAGATCCTCTGGGATTGGAGTTTCAGTGGGTACTGGAATTGGACCTGGTCCACTGGTGCTTTTAACTACTGAGGCCTCTCTTCAGCTCCCCCCTCCCTTTTTTCCTTTTGAGACATTGAGTAAATATCCCAGACTCTGGAACTCACTATGTACTGTGGACTAGCCCAAAAGTTGTCTTCCTCCTGTGTCAGCTTCCTGAGTGTCAGCACACCCTGGACTTTTATGTTTGCAAAACGGCATCAAAATTCAGTGGCCCATGTCTGTGGCTCTTAATACTTTTGTTCTGGGCTGAGCTGTACTGGAGAACCACAGCAGGCAGCTCTCCCTGTTTGCTGCCTTCTTGGCCCATTGAGACCATGAGAGAAACCCCAGGACCACCTCTCCCCACATTAGCAATCAGAGCCTCACTGCACGATCCTGGTTGCCTCTATCTCCTTCACTCTCTCCTCATAGACAACCTGAAGGCTGAAGGGAAGAAAGATATGAGCACGTTCCTGGACAGCCTGAATAAAAAGGAAATGGAGAAATGTAAGTGTGTGCTAATCCTGCTTTTGGGGGAAAGTGAAGAATACAAAAGGGAGGACTCTCTTTAATGGGAGACTGAGGAAGGGATGTCCAGTGTGTGTGAACACCAATGAGGAGCAAACTTACAGAATTGCTTTAGATTTAACATTTGGGTAATCAGAGTGACACCAAAATGAAGGTCAGAAAAGCAAAGCAGCCAGCTGTAATGAGTAGGGTTTTTCCGCCTGCCGCCTGGTCTTGTCCTGCCGCTGCGCCAGCCCCAAATAACACACAGAGACTCTGTATTAGATACAATTCTGTTGGCCTGGGTACTTGTTTCTTATCGGCTAGCTCTGTCTTAATTATTAACCCATTTCTATGTATTTCCACGTGGTCTTACCAAGAGCGGAGGAATGGCAGTTCTGTTCTCTCCAGGCTCTCCATCCTGACCCTCCTTACTACTTCCTCTTCCTCCTTGTCTCCTAGTCCCTCCTATCTTCCTTTCCTATTGGCCAACAGTGCTTTATTTATTAACCAGTATGAGAAACATATACAGAATGACATCTCCCATCAGCCAGCCACTAGAGAGTTCTTGCTTCTACCAAGACTTGGGGCCAAAAGGGGTGATCCTGTCCTCAGCGTGACTGCAAACTGAATACACTACACTCCTGCACTCCTGTCTCCACCTGCCTTATATTCCTCCCTAGTGCTGGGATGAAAGGCATGGGATCCCAAGGCTGAGTCACCTTTGTGTGAGCTCTGTTTCTCTTTTAGACCGATTCACTCGCATATAGCCCAAGCTGGCCTTGAACTGACAGAGATCCATCTGCCTCTGCCTCCCAAGTGCTGGGATTAAATGTGTGGCCACCACTGTCTGTCCTCTATGACTAACTAGTGGCTTAGGTTTGTGGCTAACTAGTGAGTCTTACTTAGTTGTGTGTGGTTAACTAGTGGCTTAGCTCTGCACTCTGATCTTCAGGCAAGCTTTATTTGTTAAATGACAAACAAAGCCAAGGAGTGGAGACCCACTGAGACAATATCCTGTAATGATGTCATCTGAGGGTGCTAGCTCTCATGGCAGCTAGCACAAAAGCCAGGTTCGGCAGACCATCCTCAATATGCCTTTTAATTTATAACCTCTTGTTATCAACTTAACATTTGTTTTTCTCTCTCCGATTCCTAGGGCACCTGTTACAGAAGAATAACTCAGCATTTCATACCTCAGGTAGGATTCCTGCCTGGCACATTGGTCATCCCATAGGGAAGCAAGGGACCTCCAGGTCTGCAGGTCAAATTTTCTGCCTATTCATGGCTCTGATACAGTAGAGGAAAGTTAGAGACAGACCCCAGGAACAGCTACCTAACATGCACAACACACTGCATGAATGATTGCTCTCAGTTTCCCTGGTAAAAGCAGGAACAAAAGAAGATCAGAAGGATGAATAAGGCTCACCACACAGGAGAGACTGAGAGGAAGGGCTGTGGAACTGTGTAGACTTCAGGGGCCAGAGATGGGTCGATGTAGAGTGAGGGACAGGCATCTACCCCTTCTGCTTCCCAAACTATACTTTACATGGGAAAGTCCAAGCCCCAAACAGGGGGCACCTATTGTGCATGTGTAACCTGCTGCTTGGTCTATGTCCCTTCTACTGTCTCTGAAGCTCAGCAGTACCTAATACCCTACTGACCTCTCTTTTCTCCTGTACCTCAAATGGCAATGAATTGTTAAAACTAGGGTCACCTAATGCCAGCCTTATTCCATCACCTTCTACTTTCAGGCCTCCTTCAGCATTGCTCTGTAGCAAAGCTGGGCCCCTTACCCTATGTTCTTGGAGGAGGAGCTGGCTGTGAGCCTGGGCTCTGTGCACACTGATAACCTATAGGTGACACCAAGTCAGCAGATTCCTTACTGAAGAGATTTGGGGGCTGCTCTTCCCTGGATGCTGGCCTTTCCTTCTAGCTCCCCCTGAAACTCATCTTTATTTTTTCTTTAAAACATTCTTTTCTTGGTTATTATTGTGTGAACATACTTATGCACAATGGAGGTGAGAGCCACAGAGTGGAGGTCAGAGACCTATTCTGTGAAGACTGTTCTCCCTTAGATGAGTTTATTTTATGTGAATTCTGGGCTCGGGTAGCAAGCGTCTGTATCTGAACCTGCCAAACCATCTCACCAAATCTTTTATTAGTTATTTTTTCTCTCCCACTGGCTGGTGTGTGTGTGTGTGTGTGTGTGTGTGTGTGTGTGTGCGTGCGTGCGCGCGCACTGGAGTTAGAGGTATACACCACCATGCCTGGCAATGAGCACCTCCAACAGAACAGGAGACAAGTCTGAATGGTGGTTATTCCCACCCAACATTGCTCTTCTCCCAATTGCCCACTAGCAGACCATAGAAGTTCCTACCTCTGTCTTTCTCTGAGGTCATCGTCCCCATCCCTTTGTTCCCCAGTGATACAACTTACTTAGCCAGGCCTGGGAAACAGATATGGGTAAGATGTGCTTGGGTCATGTCTCTAGCTACCCCACTGGGGGAGTTGGTCTCCCACCATGTGGGTTTCTGGATTGAAATCAGGTGTCAGGCTTGGGAGCCCAAGCTTATCAGGTGAGTCACCACCTGACCCCATTTTAGAAAACCAGACTGAACTTTGACATCTTACAGTAGCTTCAATTGTTTGCCATATGAGAACCAGAAAATGGGGAAATGAAGAAGACAAAGCCTCACTGTTATAAAATTCAAATTATTCAGGGTGCTATGGCCACAAACAAGGACTAGGGGAGCTTCCCTCTTCACCCACAGAACAGCAACTCATAAAATTAGGGGCTACATTTGAGACCTAGGGATGGAGAGTGGGGAGAGGTATTGGAGAGAGGGGTGTAGGGAGCATGGGCATGGCGGCCCACATCTGTAATTCCAGCACCAGGAAGGTGAAGCCTGAAGGATGAGAAGTTCAGGATCATCCTTAGCTACATGCACAGTGAGTATCAGTTCTCCTTGGGTTAAGAACTCTTCCCAGAAAACCAAAACAAACTAGGAGTCCGAAGACATGGACTGGGATTTGAAAGAGAAATTCTCCTTCTAGCTGCAATATGAGATATTCAAAAGCAGGGTGCTGGAGGACTTGAGCTGAAGCTGTCCCCCTTTATGCTTCTTTATCTTCCCACAGTCCCTGTGACCCTGGACATGATCTCAGCTGATCGAAACCTCACCTTTTCTCAAGACCTAAAGAAAGCGACTTTGTACATCATCCAAGACAACTTGAATAATCAGGGAAAACCTCGACCATTCTACCCTTTCCACTGTGTGAGGGGTTCCCCAAGCCTTTCCTCAGGCTGCAGGGTGTGGGAGGTGGAAATCCAGGGTCCCTCAGGTGGGGTTGCCATGGTGGGCGTGGCCACAGAGTTGGCCATGTTGTCCCAGAGTCAGAACTCTGGGACCAACTGTTTGTGGGCACTTCGGATCTCGTCCTCTGGATGTCAGCCATTCACCAACTGCAATGTCCGGGAGAATGTTCTCATCAGTCTTAAGAAAGTGGGTGTCTACGTGGATCATGACCGTGGAGACGTTGTCTTCTATGATGCCATCACTAACAAACACATCTACACCTTCCAAACCTCCTTTGACAGACAGGTCTTCCCTCTTTTTGGGCTCCTAGCTTCCTGTACCAGTATCACCCTGAGCCCCTAAGGCTGCTCCCTGTGGATCCATCAGTCTATTCTCCATCTATCTCTCATGACTGAATGAGATGCAAGTGGCAAGAATGAAGTTTGGCCCTATTTGGACACCCTACACACCTTACACTCACACCCCTTTCCCTGAGTAGAGAAGACAATGGAATACCCCAAATACTAAACACAAGCCTTTGTGCCCTGCACTTTGTAAAAGGACAGATTAGAAGTAGTGAAATTTCAACAGGCCACTGGAAAGCATCTGGCCACACCCTGCTTGAGAGGCAGGTCCAAGATGCTATGCTGGCCAGCCCTCGGGCTACCCCTTTCGCCACTTCACTAGCTGTAGCCCCTGACTCTGAATTTGAGCACCTGACTGTTGTTACCTCCCGAGGTCTGACAACCACAGGCTACATCTAGTGTCAGCCAGGCCTGTGCCAATGCGAGCTTGCAGATGAGGACAGTCTGCGATCAGGGTTGTAACCTTTTGACATTTCAAAGCAATGTTGTCACCCTCAATAACTCTGCGTTCAAATTAAAAACAAAATTGTAAACTCCCCATGTTGATTTAAATTTCCAGTTTTGTGTTAGTTCACTCCATAGCTATCCTTGGTCTCTGTTGTCCCTCCAGCCTCAGGCAGGTTACCACTGACTGGAATAGATTAAGTGATAGTGTGTGTGGGGGGGGCAAACATAAAGCATACTGTAGTTCATGGTTAAAATTTTAATTTATTTTACATTTCCAGTGTGTGTGTGTGTGTGTGTGTGTGTGTGTGTGTGTGTGTGTGTGTTAACCCACATGTCGTGGTCTCCCCAGAAGACCAAGAGATGACTTTGGAGAGTCAATTCCTCTTTCTACCTTGTGGGCTCCAGTATAGAACTCAGCTCATTAGACAGGTGCAAATGTCTTATGGATGATTCATCTCATTGGCTTCATTTTCTATTCTAAAGAGAAGAATATACACAGAAATGGTTAAAAATTATGGCTGGAAGCACCCTAGCATGGGGTTTTATCTGCTCTGCAGCTACATCTGTTGGGAAATTTAAGTACTTGTCCCTCACAGTTCCCTTCCTCCCCGCCCAGCTATAGAACTTCTGTGCAAAAAAGGCTGAGCAAACAAGGTTGTTTTCAAAACTTTCTAGTGTGTAGTGCAGGTATACCTTGACCCCAGGTGTGGGTGGTACATGACTTCCTCCTATGCTTAGCCTGTCCCCTGGCTTGGGTATATAAGCCTATTACTCTCTGTAATAAACAGTGGTGGCAGCAGCTTCTTCTTAACTTCTCGTTGTGGTCTGTTAAGTGTTTCAATCCCGACACCCTCCGCCAAGCTCGGTACTCTGGCTGTGAGGGCGCGGCAACATCCTTTGATGAACCCCATCCTATACCCAGACTGACAACACCTGGCTCCAGGGAACTGACAGTCAATGTGTAGCATACAATACTTGATCAAGAGGGACAAGGTTTCCAGAAAAAAAGTGAGATGATTCTTGGGACTACGGTGACATGAAGAGCTAGCTGCTAAGTAACTAAGTACTGAGTGATGATTTCATTTAATAATGGGATGTAAGAAGCTGAACTTGGAAGCCAAGCATGGTGTCTCAAACTTTTGTTCTCAGCACTTGAAAGGGAACTAGAGGAGGATAATTAGAAGCTTGAGGCCATCTTTGTCTTGTGTTTTTACTTTGAGACAGGTTCTTGCTATGTAGCCTGGCTATCTTGGAACTTGCTATGTAGACCAGGATAGCCTCGAATTCACAGAGATCTGCCTGACTCTGCCTCCTAAATTGTAGAATTAAAGCCATGGACCACTACTCTGACTAGACCATCCTTGTCTATGTAGTGTGTTGAATATCCTGTGGTTCATGAGACTATCAATAATAAACAAGCAAAGAATGGATGAAAATGATGCAGAATGTTGTGCTATGTGCCTATAGCCACAGCAGATCAAGATGGGAGGATTTCCGAGGGTTTTAGGCCAGCCTGGGCTATGAGAGACTCTGTCTCACAAAAGAAGGGAAGGAGGATGAAAAAAGGAGGAAGAGAAGGAAGCAGCAGCATGGAAACAGAAGAAGAGAATAGAATAGTGATGGACCAGAGCTGGGGAAAGGTGGGTATGGGAGGCATTAGGCACAGGCTGTAGGAGATCTTGGTGCACTGCTGTGATCACAGTCTCTTGGAGACATCTGACTTCAAATGCCATTGCCACAAAACAAAAGCCCAGCGTGTCTGAAATGTATTGAGACAATTAGCAATTCACTAAACTGATAAACAATCCTAGGAAACTTCTGGAAAGCAAACATTATGGAATATTGTGTATATGTAAAAGGGAGAAATCCAGCCAGCCCTGGAGACCCGGGTGAAGAATCACAGATACTCCAGAAGCTGAGGCAGCAGGACTAGAAGTTCAAGGTCAACTGGGGCAACTGATTGAATTAAAGATAGTTAAAGTTAAGTAACTAAGCTGGGTGTTGGTGGCGCATGCCTTTAATCCCAGCACTCAGGAGGTACAGGCAGGTAGATCTCTGTGAGTTTGAGACCAGCCTGGTCTACAAGAGCTAGTTCCAGGACAGCCTCCAAAGCCAAGAGCTAGTTCCAGGACAGCCTCCAAAGCCACAGTCTCGGGGGGGGGGGGGGAAGTAACCAGAACTTGATCCAGAACTGAGTGGCTCAGTACTTGTCTCCAATGTTTGATTGCACTGGGGAGAAACAGAGGGAGAGATGAGAGAGAAGTACAGGGGAGGGAGAGAGAGAGAGAGAGAGAGAGAGAGAGAGAGAGAGAGAGAGAGAGAGAGAGAGAGAGAGAGGAGAGTCCAGTCCAAGTTGTGCAACCCTATGATTTGTGATAGCCCCGCACTGGACACGCCTATATCACAAAAGTATGACACTTTGAAATTAAATGCTTCCTTGTTGCAGAATAAGTTTTGAACTTTGGATCTCACCAAGGCCTAGAGAACATTCAAAAGTAGTAGTTAATTGCTCAGAACGATGTAGGTGAGGTTCAGAGTGGGCTCAGCATGAAGTGGAAGCATGCAATAAATCCCTGTGAGAAACATCCACAGCCGAGTTCCTTGCCATGCACTAGAGTTTCCCAAGGCCCTCGAATAATCCTTGCTGTGTGTGCCCATGGTTAAACCATTTTATGAACTTTGAAAAATATATTCTGCCCACAGTTAGTATTGCTGGTTCCTTCCATTCCGGTCCTCCTCTGTCATGCTTTGCCTAGTAAGGATTGGTGTTTCAGAGTTAAGGTTATGGAGAAATCTAAGAGGGATTCTGAGGCTTAGGGCTTTTTTTTTTTTTTTAAAGATACATGAACACTTCATGTATAGTCCAGTTATTGCCAGCTGTCTTCATGGAGAAATGGCTTCCCAGGGTACCTAGAGATTCAAGTGCAAAGTCAGAGGCCCAGTTAGAATGATTCTAAGGGAAGCACTACAACAGAGCTACCCTTTCCACTGCACCCCTCCCCCATTCCTGTCCCTTTCATCAACACCCCCAAATCTCCTCAGGCCCAGGGGCCTGAGATGTGGTGCCCCTGGGCCCCTGAAAACTGGTCCCCTGGGTGAGCAGGGCCTGTGTATTAGGCAAGGTCTCTCGGCTCACTCTTGGGCTATGCCATCTGCAGATGAAGCTTTTGTATGGCTTCTGGGATCTTGGCATCTCTGTCTCCTGATGCCAGCTGCTCACTGAGACACCTATCCCCAGGAGGATCCATGGGCCTGTCCGGGGAATGTACATGTCTACACGATCATGAACATAGGGAGGTCATCTCCTATGGTGTTATGCCTTTCATACCTCTTTCACTGAGCAGATCTTCCCATTACTCAGGTTTCTTGTCCCTGATTCCCAGAACACCTTGAGTCCTTGTAGCTGTTCCTCTGCAACTATCTCTGTCCTTCTTTTGCCTCTGATCCACAGCATTGGAATGGTGGTAAGGTTAAAGATTGGCCCGGGTTACACCTAATACAACCACAAAGTGTCTTCTCCTCCAAATGCCCGAGCCTAGAAGAAAGGTTTGAATTCTTCAAAGTCTAAACACATGCTTATTCACCAAGGCACTGTGTGACAGGACAATTGGAAGCAAGCAAACCTCATCAACAGACCATGAGAGAAGTCACCATCTGAAAGTGTCCACCTACACCTTCTTGAGAAAAGGTGCAAGGGGCTGCCCTTTCTTCTCTGCCTTAACACCTTCATCATTACAAAATCAAGTTGATTCCAGGAGAGATGAGAGCCAATGTTACATTTCAAATTTTAATTACTATGCCTTAGAGATCCATAAAACAAAAATGCCTCTGATCTACAAGTCCCTTGCCCAAGGACAGATAGTTCCTGAAATGCTGGAGGGTATTGTTTATGGGAGAAAACAAGCCACATGTTTTCACTTCCCTGAACAAGTTAGTTGGACCCATCTGCACCAGATGTGCTTAGTCACATGTGGGCAAGAGGTACAAAAGCAAGAAATATGTCAGGATGTGTGCTTATACCTAATTGGATCTGATGGGAAATGCAATGAATTATGGGTTTTCCTTCTTAAGCCTTCTTGCTATTCTTGATTCTGGGCCATTTTCCAGGAATATGGGTATGGACCGACCAAAGCCTGTAATACCTGGCCAGTATTTAACTAAAACTTGCTTAAAATTTGACTTTAAACTGTGGTAGGTCTTATTCTTGATGGGTGGGATTAATAGAGAGACTGGCAATCTCTGAGCTCTTGACTAGCCAGAGCTATGTAGTGAGACTCAATTAATTTATTAATTAAATTGAACAAAAGTGGGGGCTGCCTCGTGAACAGACAAAGAGACAGAATGGAACTATCTGAGTGATTGGCAGGGTACACACCAAAGGGCAATTATTTTAAGTAGCTTGGCTGGGCCTGTGGGAGTCTGTAGTCCCTGCTACTCAAATAGATTGAGACAGGAGGAACTCATTGAGCCCACAAGTTGGAGACCAGACTGGGCAGCAAAGTGAGACCCCCCCCCATCTCAAAAAAATAAACCTAGCAAAACTTTAAAATGTTTGAGTCATGTCAGTAATGGTCAGTACTGTCCCTTTGGGTCTACATTCTTGTGTGCACATACGGTACACAAATAATGAGCTTAGTGTTACTAAGAATCAAGGTTTTTCAACCTAAATTAGTTTGTTTCCTTCTGCACATGACATAAGAGGGAAATATACCCACAATAACTCAGATTCTGAATATAAAATTAACATAATCTTATGCTGCATTTTTCCTTAAAATAATACAATACTTCTTTGCTTTTTCATCCACGAAGAAATTCTTTAAAAACTGAATCCCTTCGGATCTAGGTCTGCCAGAGTCACATTAGCAACACCGGCTTGAGACATTCAAAAGGGAGAACTGGTTGTCTTCATTTAAAAAAGAAAAAAAAAGTTAACTGGACATCTCAGCCCTCTCTTTTCACCTTTAATCCCCACACTTCATAGGCAAGAGGCAAATGGATCTCTGTGATTTCAAGGCCAAGTTCCAGGCCTTTAGAGAGAGACTCTGTCTGAAGAAAAACAAAACAAAACAAAACGAAGAAAACTTGCTGG